CATCTTCTCGTGTGAACTTGATGTATTTATCCACAGAGTTGATGTGGTCAGTAAAATGTTGGACTTCCTGAGATTTAATTTTAACCCAGGTGTCGTCAACATACCTGAACCAATGACTTGGTGGTGTCCCTGAAAAGGACGTCAAGGCTCTCTTTTCTACCTCCTCCATGTACAGGTTGGCAACAATAGGAGAAACTGGAGACCCCATAGCACACCCATGTTTCTGCCTATAATATTGCTCCCCATATGTGAAGTAGGTTGACTGCAGGCACAGTTTCAAGAGTTGACACAGTTGTTCTGTGGAAAGCGTGGTCCTGCTGCTCAGAGTGGTGTCTGATTTTAATTTTAAACTGACCACCTCTACTGCATCATCAACAGGAATGCACGTAAAGAGTGATGTGACATCAAAAGAGACCATTGTTTCATCAGTCTCCATGATGACATCCCTCACCTTGTCCACAAAGTCCATGGTGTTCTGTATGTGGTGTTCTGAGCTGCCAACTAAAGGGATGAGTACAGACGCCAGATATTTGGAAACATTGTAAGTGACAGAGTTAATCATACTAACAATTGGTCTTAAAGGTACACCTTGTTTGTGGATTTTAGGTAAACCATACAGACTAGGTGTGGCCTCCCCTGGGTACAGTCTGTGGTACAGAAAACGGTCAATAGCCTTGTCCTGCTCCAAAATTTTCAGGCAATCTATCAATTTCTTCTTGTAACCACTTCCTGGATCTCTTTTCAGAGGTTCATAAGTGTTTAAGTCACTAAGGAGTGTCATAACTTTCTCATGATAGCCTTTTTGGTTCAAAATCACTGTGCACCTTCCTTTGTCTGCTGGGAGAATGATGATGTTTTTGTCCTTGCTAAGAGTGATGAGTGCGTCCCTCTCCTCTCTACTGATGTTGGAAGGTGGTGGTTTGGCATTGCTGAGGCAGGCTGAAACTTTGATTCTGAGCTGTTCTGCTTCAGCCTCTTTAATTTTGTTGTTGCGGATGGCTGACTCAGTAGCTGTGATCATCTCCACCAGAAGAATTCTACTTGGTGCAACCGCAAAGTTCAGTCCCCTGGCAAGAATCTCTGTCTCTGGCTGGGTGAGCTGTCTGTCAGATAAATTCTTCACCCACTTTTCTGTCTCCCTGGCATGTAATTGATGTAATTGATTGTAATTGATCCATTGTTAGGCTGATGGTCCTTCTTGAGCATGTGATCAGCTGGTTTTGGTTGTCAGCAGCAAAACTGGTTGATCCACTCTGAGAAGGTGCTATTTAAGAGACTGAGCTGAATACAG